TAGTTGGTCTGCAGTACACCAGTCACAGTTAAGCTGCTTACTAGCCAGCTGGAGATTAACCCCACTTCACACACGCACACAAACACAAAGCATGCACACACACATGCAACACATGCACACACACACACACATGCAACACATGCACACACACGCAGAGGCAGTCCTGCGGGTCTTAGAAAACTAGAACAGTCTGTCAGCTCATTACCGAGCTTACTGTCCTTCACTAGATTAAAATAATTTGTTTAAACATCTAGTGTTTTTATTTACAGTACCAAGTTTATTCCTTCAACACTCAAATGCAACGTTTCCTGAAAGCAGCCACGTGCCTTAGTTCTGTTACGTTATTTGTCATATGCTGGTTAACACGGGGTCGAGTGCAACGAAATGTTCAGGATGAGAAGTGATTTCGACTCGCTAAAACAAACAACAACAAGAAATACTAAAGCATGCAAAGTACAAAATAAAGTACCAAAAAGTGACAATATAATATTTACAAGGTCCAAAAGAAATGCAGTAAAGAACAACATGGTAGAATAGAACAGTGCAAGTAGGATGAATTCATATAAATAATATTTCACTGGTGGTAATATAAGCTTAAATGCACTTATTGTACATAACTAACATAAACTACACAGGTTGTGTGACAGGTTATTGCACAGGTAGCGAGTAACATTAAGATTATCGGTAATTGAATTATGATGGTAAAGTAGTGACATTTATGATAAATGGCATATGTGGTATGAGATATGACATACATGACATATACATGATACAGCCACAGTGCAGCAGCAATAAACATATTAGCTTTCACAACTAATATTAGTCATATTAGTTGTCACAGATGTGGCTTAGTGCAATGTTATTGTCAGTAGTTCAGAATTATTGTCAAAAGTTCAATAATCTGACAGCTTGTGGATAATAACTGTCTTTGAGTTTTTTTGTACGTGATGACAGACTCCTGTATCGTCTGCCTGAGGGTAGTAGATGGAAGAGTCTTTGTGCTGGGTGGGTGTGGTCCTTAATGATGCTGCTTTACGCAGACATCGGCTGTGGTAGATGTCCTGGATGGTGTGGAGACTGCTGCCAGTGATGTCCTCTGCTGTTTGCACCACCCTCTGTAGAGCTTTCTGACTGGTGCGATTCCCATACCACACTGTGATGCAGCCTGTCAGCAGGCTCTCAATGGTGCACCTATGCTGGTGTTCTTACCAAACTTCTTTATAGTGAGTGAGAGAGTGACTGGTTGTTTGTCTCATTTGTCTCTGTGTCCCTGTGATGGACTGGAGACTTGTTCAGGTGTCCCCTGCCTCTCGCACAGTGACTGCTGGACATTGACGCCTGTGACCCCCGTGACCCAGGAAGAACTGGGTAAAGGTAATGGATCGATGTTACAAATAATTTAAAGCAGTTCACTGCAACCATATAAACCCACATGCAGGTTGGGGGTTGATTCAACCGCCCTCACACCTAAAACATAGGTTCCACCCACCCCATACCCCCAAGTTAAAATAAAGGATACAATTGAGAAAAAATAGTTCACTTAGCTGGCCCAACTGGTGAGATCCCTCTTTGGGGTATGAACTTGTATCGAACTTGAACAGTCTCTGATGAGCTTTCTTCATCAGGCTGGTGGTGTTGTTGCTCCAGCTGAGGTTGTTGTTCAGGTGTACAAACAAGTACTTGTAGCTGGAGGCCACTTCCACTGCAGATCCTCTTATGTTCAGGGGGGTGTGGGTGTGTTTGTTCCTTCTGAAGTCCACAATCATCTCCTTCATCTCCTTCACATTAATGTGAAGGTTGTTCTTCCTGCACCAGCTCTCCAGGTGTTCCACCTCTTGTCTGTAGCTGGACTCATCATTGTTTGTGATGCATCCCACCACCGCTGTATCGTCTGCAAACTTTACAATGTGACAGCCTGGATGGGTAGCTGCACAATCATATGTGAGCAGAGTAAACAGGAGGGGGCTCAGCACACATCCCTGAGGGGAGCCAATGCTAAGGTTTATGGTGGAGGAGGAGAAGTTGTGGATCCTCACTGACTGTGGTCTGTTTGTTAAGAAGTCTAGGACCCAGTTGCAAATGGAGGGGCTTAGTCCTAGTGTGAGTAGTTTGTCCATCAGGGTTTGGGGGATCACGGTGATCAAGACAGACGTGAAGTCCACAAAGAGCATACGGACGAAGGAGCCTTTCTGCTCCAGGTGGGTGAGAGCAGTGTGGACCACAGAGGAGATTGTGTCCTCTGTTGATCGATTCTCATGGTATGCGTACTGGTGAGGGTCCTCGTTGATGTTGATGGTTGTTTTGATGTGGGTCATGACCAGTTTTTTGAAGCATTTAGCGACGATCGGGGTGAGGGCCACTGGCCGGTAGTCATTCAGACCAGTCACTGTAGAGCTCTTTGGGACTGGGATGATGTTGGCAGTCTTCAGGCAGGTGGGAACTGTCACCAGGCTAAGTGAGGAGTTAAAGATGTTGGTCAGCACCTCGCAGAGCTGATCGGCACATTCTTTCAGCACCTTCCTGGGGATGCTGTGTGGGTTGGTTGCTTTGTGAGGGTTAATCCTCCTTAAAGTACTCCTTACTTCGGCTGAGGTCATGCTGAGAAGCTCTTCCTCCGGTGGTGAGGTGAGTTTGGTGCTGGGTGGTCTGTTTTAAATACCATTTTATTTTCACTTGTTGTTCTCAATTTGTATGCATCCTTTATGATTGTCTGTTGTTGTCGTTGTTGTCCACTGGTGTCATCACTCTGTTAAAATCAGGTCTCTCTTGTAAATGAGTCCCTGTGGTTCAATGGGATTAACCTGCATGAATAAAGGTTGGAAAATGGTTCTGTGGACCAGTAGCTGGTGCTTGGTTCTCCTGGTGTTGGTACCAGTTCCCTTCTCCCTCTCTCAGGCATTGACTCATGTGCCTATTCATTTTAGCTGCTATGATGCTTGATAGGAGCTTACAAGTTGACCAGAGGCAGGTGATTGGCTGGTAGTTAGATTGGATTGCCCCTTATGGGGCGTCTTTTATGATCAGGACTGTGTGACTTTGGGTCAACCACCCTGGAAGGGACACTTCCATTAGCAGCACATTCATCTGTGTTGCTAGGTGTTCATGGAGAGCAGTCTTTAGCCAGTAGGTGTGGATCATGTCAGGACCTCGTGCAGCTCTTCGTTCCTGATAGTCTGTCCTGGATGTCTGCCAATATAATGGACACTGGTTCTTGTTCTGTGACATTACTGTGTCAAAATCATAGATCTTTTTGCCATGGGGCATCTTTATTGTGTATGTTTCTCCAGTATTGCCCAGTCTCAGCTCTGGGTGGATCTACCCTCATGTTGTTCCCCTGCCATTGAGAGTACACTCTGGTTGGAGTGGTGGTGTATACCCTGTTTATTCTCCTGGCTTTTACTTTATGAGTGTACCTCTTTAGGCGAGTAGCCAGAACTCTGAGGCATTGTTTAGCAGTCTTTACAGCCTCAGGTATGGACTTGTTGCGGTATTTTCGTGGTGGCTCTTCATTCATTGCATCTTTCTCTTTTTCTGACAGGTGGAAGATTTCTCTCCGTGTTTGCTTGATCTTAGCTGCCAGCCTCCTTCACCACGGTGCAATGCTCCTTATTCATTGTAGGCTTGATCTTAAAGCCAAGCAAGTCAAGCATCACAGTGGTTGTGGTGTATCTCATGTGTGTGGAGGTGTGTCTGTATAGTAGTGTAGGGTAGTGGGTATCCCATTAACACAAACACACAGAAAGCTAGCAGGATGAATACATTTTGGTAAGTCCTTGTAAGGATGTGTATTATCGTTACATTTGTTGCAATAGTGCTATAATAACCTTTGTTTCTTGTTTCTTCTTTTATGCATGATGGATTGTTGCACATTATGAAGGAAGTAGCAGACATATATAGGCTAACGGTTGCCCATGTACCTGCAGACCCATGTGAGTCTGAGTGCGACGGTATCTGTGGTCCTGAGGTGGGGGTGACAAGTACACAAGTGTCATGAGGAAAAATGATGACCATTTACTTTACTTTCTAAATGTTCAATGAATTTCTGTTCACGGTGAATTTCTATGGGTTGTAATTGATTTAAATTGCATTACATTGTTGGTTTTATATCTAATAATAAATAAGGTGAGGAATATCCTTTCATTTATTTATATATTTGAACAAAATCTACTTTTTGATATTTCTGGGAGAAAAATAGAAGTTTTGTTACAATAATGAAAGAAATCATTCATGCCCAGAAAAACCCTTAATGGACAAGCAAACCAGCTGGTTGACCTACATTTCTGCTGTTTAGCTTTCTTTGTTTTTACATTTCTGTCGGTTTTCTTCTGCTTTTTGCTTTCGTTTTTTCAGCAAATGTCAGCTGTACAAAAGCAGCTCTCCTTAAAAGTTTAGAAATTAAAGCTTTTCATCAGTTCTTAGCAAAAATCCTTCAGCCACAAGCGTTCACAATGCATTTGAGCAGGAAATGACATTTCTCCAGTTATTTATTTTGCAAATGTTCATTCAACCTTTATCTATACAGGTTAGACTCACTGCGTCACGAGGACTCATTTTCAAATGTATTTTAATGCAGAAACAGAAGGTTAAAAAGGCAAAGTGTAACAGTTTGGCATTTAATTCCAAAAACAATAAGTAGGAGGGGCAGGAAAAAAGGTTGATGTCAGCAGAGAGGAGAAGGAAGGACTGCCATCCTCCTTTTCCTGTTTCCAGACCCCTCCTCCCCTCTTATCAGAGTGTGGGGGAGAAAGGATCAGTAGGAGAAGTGAACGGATTACCAGCGGTGACCATGGGACGAGATAAAACTACAAACAGCCTGGGATAGACATGAATCCACTCCACTGACCAAAACCAACACCAAGAAGATTAAAGGAAAAGTGATAATAATTTTTTTAATGTATTTAAAGAAAATACACGTCTGATCAAGAGTCAAGTAGAAGAGAGAAGCCAGCGTTTGTTCCAGAGAGCAGGTGGACCCGTTCCCAAAAAACCCACCGTAGCCACCATGTACAGTGGATATGGAGGTATGAACAGCTGAGAATCATTAACTTCCTGTTTGTCAGGAGAGGTTTCCATGTGATGATTGACAGCTGGTAACTTATAAAGTAACCTGTTTAATGTATTAACTGAATAAAAAGAAGGAGCTCTTCTAACCATTGGTCACTCTGCTGTAAAGAACCATGCTAATATACTATGACATCAGATCCATTTAAGGCTTTTAATGATTGATTTAAACCAGGTGGAAGAATTATACAACACACTGCTTTAATGTTGATTACAAAATGTTACCAATTCAAATGGGGACCAAATTATACATACAAACTCAAATATATGAGTAGTTTTACGGCTGATGCTGATCTTTAGAAATCAAGGCAGCCAGTGGATGAACTACAACACTGTATTTTTAGTTTAACTAAATATAACACAATTGCTTAACCTAAATAAGCCATTCTTATTCAACAATTATCACAACATGTACCCTCAAAAGTAGTATATGGAAGTGTTTTGTTGCTTAAAGAATCTAACTTTAGACAACTTCTTTCAGCTCCTGGTGTTTAATTGTAAGATTCTCATGTTCCTTCCACTTGATGTTGCAGTTTGTTGTTGCATCTATCACCACTGCCCTTCCCTGTAGTTTGTTGGTCACCATTAGGACCGGCTGGTCAGCCCTCACCAGTCCATCAGTCTGGACCTGGACGTCCCACAGCGTTCAGTCCTGTTGTTTGAAAGAGTTTCCCACTTCTGTTGCATTTCATTAGTGTCTCAACGATGTCTTTTGTGTCTTTTTCTGTTTCCAATGACGGATTCTCCATGTACATGCTGTGCAGGGGAATATCTTTCCATGATGACTCTCTGGTTCCTCTTCCTGACTGGTTTCTGCTTCTTAAAACAGTCACGAGTCACTTCAAGGCATAAGCTATAGGCTGTTACTGGAATGGGATGGTTGGCAACTGGAATTTGTTGAGTTCTCCATTTCCTGATACAAGTCACAGATGTTTCCAGTCTGTTTTATATTTAAATTTAATTTAAATTATTTAAATATTTTCAGAGTCATCCTGGACGCCTCACTTCTGTAATAACGGAGCACCAGAGTTGTATTTTGACACATGCTACTTATGAAGGAAACGAGGCTACAACCCCAATTGTACAGGTCTACAGTGATCAACAGTGATTAGAAGCAGTATGCACATGTCCCCTGTCGTTGAGGGAATTGAATAGTTGATGTTTTGAGTTCTCAAGATAAGTTTTCTGGACTGGAATTGAATGTGAGTTAATCTTAATGTTTTTGGTGCAAGATATTTACTGCAAGGAGTTAGACTGTGTCTAGAGTTACTCTGGTGAATGGAAGGAACAATTTTATTTACCACCAATGGTGGAGCCAGGGGGTGGCCAATGGTGTCCATGATCACCATAGATTGATCTTTGGTCACCCAACCAGCCATCCTATTTAAGAAAACTGAACTTTTAAGCAATATGAAAATTAGAAAGCAGTTTCCTCAGATGTTCAGGTTGGTCAGTTTGTATACATGTATATACAATGGCCACCTTGGAATCCCTGGTGAGAGAGAGAGTGAATGGTTGTCTTGTTTGTCTCTGTGTCCCTGTGATGGACTGGAGACCTGTCCAGGTGTCCCTGTGATGGACTGGAGACCTGTCCAGGTGTCCCT